AGAAAGAAAGAAAGAAAGAAAGAAAGAAAGAAAGAAAGAAAAATACAAAGAGATCCTCATGAGTTCCTAAAATGTAAAAAAGAAAAAAAGAATAAAAAATTACCAAAAAAAAAAAAAACCAAAACAAAAACAAAAAATAACATAAAATACTATGTAGTTCGAAAAAAGTGAGTAAAATACACGAACACGTTGACACATATGTGTACACTTGTTTTTTTTATCGATTAATTTTTATAATCATCTGTGAAAAAGAAAAAAAAATTACAGTTCATTTATTAATTATTGTTAATTCAAACGTTAATTATTAAATATTATATTTTTGTTTAATTAACACAAAATTTATCAATCATTGAATTACAATACTAAACAAAATGTTTAAAAATTCGAGTATTTTATTCACTGAATTAATGAATAAACGAGCGTGTTGGGACTTTATTATAGCGTACGAATTACAAAACGCATAAGAGAGAAAAAAACAGAGAGATTGAGAGAGAGAGTGAGAGAGGAAAGGACTCTTTGTGAATCTCGTGAGCGTTAAACCTCGCAGAATGTAATTCGAACAATTGTATAACTTGTATAACGCGTTTGTACAAAACTCTGTATTATATTTCATTGCAAATCTTGTAACCAACTAAATAGGGATCTCCGATTATATATACTGTGTAAATTTAAGTACCAATCTGTTCTTTTTGTTTTTAATTATAATTATTATTATTATTATTATCATATTTATGTTTGTTAGTTATATATACATATGTATATGTATGTATATAATCAAAAATATTGCACAAAAAATATTTTGTAAGACGAGGGACTTTCTTGGCAGTAAAAAATATCGTGATCATTTGAAAAATGATCACGATTGTTATTCAATTTATTAATTATTATTAATATTATTATTATTGCTATTATGTTGAAATATCACGTGATACACACGGGTACGAATGGAGAATGAAATGATAGAAAATTGATTAGGAAAAGTACGAGATAATATTATTAATACAAAAGTAATGAAAAAAAATAATAATAATAATAAAACAAACAAAATCTAATTTGTCTTCATTCGACGAATTTGAATTTTTTCTACGTCGTTCGTTTAGAAAAAAGAAAAAAGAAGAGATCATAGTCCTAAACCAAGGGGTCAGCAACCTGCGGCTCGCGAGCCACATGCGGCTCTTTGGATGTGAAACTGCGGCTCTTTAGTTAAAAGAGTAAAGAATTAGGCACCGATGAATAAAT